GGAGGAGACATTTTCTTTTATTTATTTATTTTTTTTTTGAGGAAGATTGGCCCTGAGCTAACATCTGCTACCAATCCTCCTCTTTTTGCTGAGGAAGACTGGCCCTGAGCTAACATCCATGCCCATCTTCCTCTACTTTATATGTGGGATGCCTCCCACAGCATGGCTTGCCAAGTGGTGCCATGTCTGCACCCGGGATGCGAACCGGGGAACCCTGGGCCACCGAGAACCAGAACGTGGGAACTTAACCGCTGTGCCACCGGGTCGGCCCAGGAGAAGACATTTTCAGATGAAGGGGGAAAAAAGGAGAACGAAGCTGTGTTGTGAATGTAACATCAGGAGAATGGGTCAGTGGACTCAGGAATGAATAGATGTTATAGGAACAAGAAACAGCAAGAAATGCAATTTGTCATGGAAAGATATAGGGCTAAAAGTTAGATGAGAGAGCAACGTCAAGCAAAGGGATGACCTGGGCATGATAAACATGAAAAACCCTAGACATCAGAGAAGGAGCTAATGAAGAAGAGACTGAAGATGCTAGAAAGAAGGTCTCATGAATGTGGTAAAAGGTGCTTAAAGTAGCATGGAGACTATGGGCTCAAGGGCACAAGTTAACAGGCAGCCATGTAACAGGCAGAAACATACGGTAAGGAAGGAAGTTGTACTGTTGAGAAAGAGAGGGAAAGATAAACATGAAATCTATTGCCTGAAGGCCTCTCTTGACAGCCTGGGCTATGGGCAGCTTTGGAGGTGAGAAAACTGAAGGTTTAGAATAGGTCTTCTGTCAGGAAGAGGCTAAAAAGCTCCCCAAACAGACATTGCTGAGGAACAATTAAGACCTCAGGCAGATTTAATTCTTAAGATTTTGAAGCTGGCTAAGGTTACAACAGAATTCTGCTGCTTGCAAGCAATAGAGAAAATGGATGATAGGGATGTAGAGGTCAAGAGGGGGGCGTTTCCAGGTTGAGTGTGGGAGAGGTTCAGAGGACAATTGAGGGGCTGGTCCGGTGGCACAGCAAAGTTCTCATGTTCTGCTTCAGCAGCCCGGGGTTCACCGGTTCAGATGCCAGGTGCAGACCCAGCACTACTTGGCAAGCCATGCTGTGGCAGGCGTCCCACATATAAGGTAGAGGAAGATGGGCACGGCTGTTAGCTCAGGGCCAGTCTTCCTCAGCAAAAAGAGGAGGATTGACAGCAGAAGTTAGCTCAGGGCTAATCTTCCTCCAAAAATAAAGAGAACCATTGAATTAGTGGGTGGAAAGGTTACCATTGAAGTTACTGGACAAGGCATAAATGGAGAAAATGGCCTAATCTTCTCATGGGAATTAGGGAAGGAGTTCACACCAAAACAGACTCACTTTGACTGCACTCAGATAATTGTTGATTTGGGATCTGGTCCTTTTGGAAGCTGACTGTAATATAAAAGATTTTGTTTCATCATCATAGCTAGAATATATTTTCATGCTCTACAGTCACTGTGAAGATATGCTGTGATTCCACTTCCTTCTAAAACCAATTCTGGCTATCCTAATTTTTTCTCCTTTAGAATATCAATTTGATTTCCTCTTTCTTCCACCTTCTCCACTGAGGTGTCTTTTGGTTGGTACCTACCATGTGTTGTATGTACCCTGTGTATTCTTGACAACCTTCAGATTCAATTTAGAAACTTGAATGAGAAAAAGGATTTAGGTCTGTGTCTGCCAGTAAATTGACTGGTAAATGCCAATTTCTGAAAATTCGCTCAGTGCAAATGCTCTGGTAATTCCCTTGGAGCTTTTTTGTTTCTTTAAAGATTTTATTTTTCCTTTTTCTCCCAAAGCCCCCAGTACACAGTTGTATATTCTTAGTTGTGGGTCCTTCCAGTTGTGGCATGTGGGACACTGCCTCAGTGTGGCTTGATGAGCAGTACCATGTCCGAGCCCAGGACCCAAACTGGCAAAACCCTGGGCCACAGAAGCAGAGCATGTGAACCCAATCACTTGGCCACGGGCTGGCCCCACCTTGGATCTTTTGTGTTTTAAATTTTTCTTCCCCTCTTGGACTCCTAGCAGAATTGACAGCATTAGTTCTTTTCTAACGGTAAACTAATACTGCAGATTTATCTTGCCCAGCCTCCCCTGCTATCTCCCAGGACCATGCAGATTGTACTTTCCCAGATCACCAAGGGACAATTAATTCTTTCCTACCTACTGTTATATCATCTATCCATCCATCCATCCATCCATCCATCCCTGATCTCCTTGTAGAGAATACTGAGTCTGTCTTCCTTAGTTGTTCTACCATTTATACTACAAGGAATGAATAAGAATTCCTCGCTAGGGGCTGGCCTGGTGGCGTAGCAGTTAAGTGCCCGTGTTCAGCTTTGGCAGCTCGGGGTTTGCTGGTTCAGATCCTGGGTGTGGACATGGCACTGCTTGGCAAGCCATGCTGTGGTAGGCATCCCACATGTAAAGTAGAGGAAGATGGCCATGGATGTTAGGTCAGGGCCAGTCTTCCTCAGCAAAAAGAGGAGGATTGGCGGTGGATGTTACCTCAGGGCTAATCTTCCTCAAAAAAAAAAAAAAAAAGAGTTCCAAATCAACACTTAGTATTGCCAAATTTTTAAATTTTTGCCAATGGCAAACTGACATTCTTTAGGAAAGAAATGGTGTATGTGTATGTGTATGCACACGTGTATGAGTGTATGAGTGTGCTTCAGGGGAGTATATATATATATTTTTCCTAGGGCAATTAGTAAATCAGGTAATTAGTAAACAAGGCAGCTAAGATGAAATTAGAGCTAGGTCTTTAGAAAGTTAGACAAGCACAGTTCCAAGACCCACATTATATGCATTTTCACATCTCTTCTGGAGAAGTAATTGGAAATAAGACAGGAATTCTTGCTTTGTTTTTAAGAAAGAATGGGGTAAGGTAGTTGTGAGGATAGTGGGAAATTGCTTAAACGGTTATTCTTTGGTACCGAGGCTGGAAAGAATTGCACTTCTTTTCTTCTCCTTGGAAAGACACCTCATGTTATTGTTTATTTTCCCATGGCTCGTTCAACCTTTTAGTTTCTGTTACAAATATCAGACCTCTTTTCTGACAGGTTCAGATGGACCTGATGTTGTTAGGTGCTATGTTTAAGACTCAGATCCCAAGGGGGCTTTAAATATCATCTACATGTTGATGACTCCCAAATTTGTTTTTCCAAGCTGAATCTCTTTTCCAAACACAAAACTGTCCCAGACTTGGCCAGTGGGAACCATCTATCTTTTTTTAAATAGGCATTTAGACAGTTTCTAATTTTTTACTGTAGCAAAACACAGGGAAATTGTTGTGTTGCCACCGATGCAATCCCACCTTCAGGGCCTTTGTGCTTGCTCTTTCCCACCATGGAATCTCCCCCAGCTCTCTCCCTGTCTCTTTCAGATCTACTCGGGCGCTGACTGCTGTATTTAAAGTGGCAGCCTTCCCCCACCCTCTGTCCCCTTCCCTTCTTTCCCCACTCCCTCTGACCATCGCCATCTGACACACTTTATATATTCTGCTTCTTTGCCTTCTTCATTTTCTGTCCCCCAAGCCCCATGATTGAATGCAAGCTCCACAAGGGCAGAGGTTTCTTTTTGCTCACTGCTGTTTCTCAGAGTTTAGAACTCTGCCTGGCACATAGTATGGACTCTCTACTAATATTTGTAGAATGAAGAAAATGAGTGTTACCATGGACATTTTTCTGAGTCTTTGACTTACCCATTTCAATACTTTTGAAAGTTAATTATTTAAATTAATTGACAAAAGCCAGGGTATTCTATTTCATGATAGTCTTTTTCCTTTTGTTCTTTATGAAAATCAAGTTTTGAGTCAAACTCTCCCAATATTCTTTTCATCTAGGTCCTAGGAGATTTTTTCTGACAAGGTATTAACAATTAGGCTTTTGGAAACATTGATTGAGCAGAATTTATTTTTGCAGTTAAGATGTATTTCAGATGCCACATTTCTGACGTTCTCCAACTAAGGTATTTGTCTGACTGTAGCACTGAAAACACTGTAGTGAAGACACTCATTTGTTCTGCTTGCAAACTTGGAATGTGTGTTCCTCCTGGGCAGGAAGCAAATTTTATTCATCTCTGTATGCCTAGATCCTACCTCAAGAATAAATGTGAATCAATCAATCAGTGAGAAAGGTCAAAAGTTTAGGACTCTTTCTCAAAAGACCAATCTGGTTACGCTTATTAAAGCAAGTATAACAAAAAATAAAAATTATGTGCCAAATGGGGGTAGAATGATGCGGAAGGCAATGATAGGAGTTTCTTCATTTGAAGCTGGACCTGGGAAGAATGATCGTCCCATGACCAGCATTTTCCTTACCACTGTGACCCCATTAAAGATCTGGATTCCCTTGCCTGACTGCTGGAAGAAGCAACAGCCACCAAACAGTTAGGGAGAAATTCAGTTGCCACAGTTTTAGTTTTGGAGTAATGCCACAGGTTATTCCTCCTAATGCTGAAAACTTACTTCTTCCTGCGCCTTCATTTCTCCATCCATAAAGTGAACACGACCACCAGCAAGGTACAGGGCCAAATAACTAACAAAAATATGATGATGACCTTTGCAGACATCAAGCGCTGAGTCAAGGGAACACAACCCTCCTCTGGCTTCTCTCTTTGGTGTTGAGGGCCCTTGTCCATTGCTAGCGACCCAGATACTGCTCAATGGTGTCATCTCTGGCATCTTAAGTCACCCCTTTAATGTCTCTATAAACATTCCATTTAGAGATCCTAAAATTTTTCTCTCAGCCCTTTTGAAAAAAAGATAAAAAACCCCCAAGACCCCTCTCCCTTTCCAATACTCTCCTTTCTTAAAAAAAAAAAAAAAAAAAATAGGTGTTGGGAGGGAGGAGGAGGGGGAAGGGGAGGGAGAAGGAAGGGTCGAGAGGGGAATCCGGCTCCAGTTTGGGGAAATCCAGCTCGCGTCTTGCCTCTCGCTCGGCGGTGCAGGGTCCAGCGGAGGCAGAGCCCCAGCTTCACTCCCTGAGGTCTGTCCTGGGGAGACACTGCTGCTCCGGGGGGCTGACCTGGCGGGGAGTGGCAGCGCAGTCCGCTCCGGCGCCGCTTTGTGCGCGCAGCCGCTGGCCCCTCTGCTCCTGGGTCTGCCCCCCGGGACGCCCCCCTGTCCCGCCCCAGTCATGCAACTCTACCTGCCTCTCCACTGTGAACCTTTGGGAAGCAGCCGCCCACCCCGGGGGCTCGGGCCCTGACCGTGCTGGGAGTCGGTAGGTGTCGGCCCGGGGCCGGCCCGCGCCCCTCGCGCCCGCCGGGGCCCCGGGCTCCGAAGTTGTGGGGACCAGCACGAGTTGGAAAGTTTGCCCGAGGGCTGGTGCAGGCTTGGAGCTGGCGGGACGCGCGCTGCCCTCGGAGCCCGAGCGAGCCAGCGGTGAGTTGGGGCCGGAGCAGAGGGTAGGGGTGCGGGGACCCGCGCGCCGAGGGCGGAAGGGGGTGCGAGGGGCGGCGCTGCGCTCCGGCTAGAAGTGGGCCGGGGCTCGGCGTCCGCGGGTCCTCCCGGGCCGCAGGGGTGGGACCCTCCCCGCAGCGACCCCCCACCCCGGGCCGCCGGGGGAACTTTCGTGGCGGGTGGTAGACAATGCCCCCGGCCCGAGGACCCGGCCCTTGCCCCCGCGGCCGGGCTGCGGCGCAGGGTAGGGGGAGCGGGGGGCCTTGGGCTCGCACTCAGGGCTCAGCGGGAAACCCGGCTGGGGGAGGGCAAGTGTGGCCTCGGGGGGATCCTGAATGTGCCGGCGATTGACGCGCCTCTTAGGAGAGTCGGATGTCGGGGCGCCCGGGGGCAGAGAGGGAGGAATTAGCGCGAGCCGCGGGCGGGCAGCCCGGGCTGTCCCGTGCTCGAGCACACCCCCAAACAAGTTTCCTCCCTCCTCCGAGCTTAGATAGGAGCAGCTTCGTTGGGGAAACATTTTGGCGCTTGCCTCCCTCAGCGTTTCGGGGAGGAGGCTTCAGGGACGAAACTTTTGGAGTGGAGGTAGTAGGGGAGTCTTGCCAGAGGTTGACCTGCAGTTATACAGATCGGGGAAGAAGGGATTAGGGGATAGAATCAGTGTTCCGCCAAAATGGCTTTTAAAAAACTCTTCTGAGCGCCACCCGGTCGCCGAACGCAGTGGCGTTGCCTTCGCATCGGTCCCACTCGGGCAGAATCCCGGAGCGGGCCCGGGGCTGGGAGGCGCGCGGAGCTGGTGCCGGGGACCCGCCGTGCGGCACGTGAGGGGCCGGCGAGGGCCGCAGCAGCCTCACGTGCTGGGGAAGGGACGGGGCCGGATTCCTCTCTCCCTCCCTCTCTCCCTCCCCTCCCTTACCTCCTTCTCACCCCCCACCCCCCAACCGATTTAGATTCTAGAAGAGCTGTGTGCAGTCCATGTATTTCTGCAAAAAATGGTCAGGAAGTTGCTGGCCGGCCCCAGCAACCATCCCACGTGAACGGGGAACCCAAATTGGTCATTTCTAACTCAATAAAAATTAATTTATTGATACAAGAGAACAGATATTGCTTGAACTCCGAGTCTTCCTTTCACCCCCAACTCATCCTCCTCCCAAATTAACCATCTTGCATAGGTCACTCATGTGCCTCTTCCCCTCCTCCCCGTTCCATTCTTGGCACAAAATGAGCTGCATAATACATCATAGTAATGATCAATTTATGAAGAAATATTCGAAATGGACTTCAATACCTTGAGCGAGAAAAAGATGAGGTGCACAGCCTGATGTCGGCGGGGTGCGCTACGCACTGCGCCGCGGTGGGTTGACGGGCGGCGCTGTAGGGCAGCAACCTCGGGTCGGCCCTGAACCGAAATGTGCGGATCCTTTCCCCTCCCCCTCTCAACAATATAAAGTAAAATAGAAACGTTGGCTTCCTCAGGCCTCAGGATGCCAAAAAGAATATGGAAAAGGCTCTTGTTAACCTTAGAGTTATTTAGGGTATATTAGGAATTTATGACTACATACAATTGAACAAGGGCAGTACACCCAGAGAGAAACGTAAATGAGATGTTTGGAGATTAGTCCGTATTATTTCCAAGAACTAAAGACTCAGGTAGTATGATTTTGGGTGTTTCTTGATTTGGTCGGTACTGGTTGCACAGGTTAAAAACAAGTTCCTTCACTCTCTAATTAAGGGATCTTAATTAGGTCGGTTGTCAACCTTTAACTGCGTTTAAAGCCATGTTATGATTTCAATTACACTTCAGGATCAAGATATATGGGAGTTAGCATGCAGTGTCCCTTTTTCTTTGCAAAAATTAGTAGCTCGGGCTTAGAACTCTGGGAACACCATTTACCGTTTTCATGAGAGTTAACTGTCGCGCTCAGCTCTGGTCTACCAGAATTAATGGGTCGAAGGTTTGGATCACCACTGTCCCTGCCCTTTGTTTCTCTTCCTTCTCCAATCTTCTTTATCTGGTTTGTCTCTCCCCTCCCCCACCCTCCTCTGCGTCTGTATCTTTCTTTCCCCGCACACTTAAATTTCTCTTTTTCCTCTTCTGTCTTTCTACCTTTAGTCTTGAGTGTTTTGATCTCAGTTGTCTTTTTATATTCTAGCTTCATTGCTATAAATTTCTTTCCCTTCCTCTGTCTTTTGGCCTTTGTTTTTTTACTGTTTACAAATTTTCTTTCTTTTTATGCTTTTTCCTCTTCTTTCCAATGTGTTTTGTACTCTCCTTGTTTTTAGAAGGGTCATTCTATCTCCATTTTTAACTTCTCCCTTCTCCTTTCTGTGGCCCTTTTTGGCCTTTTCTTCTTGCTCTCCGCAGGGCAGCAGGGTCGTTTTACATATGGAAGGAGGCTTTGACTAAATCTGCTGCCCTTCTCGTGAGCGTCCCTGAACGGCCTTTCCCTGTGCGAGGGCTCTCCCACTTCCTGTGGTAGAAAACTATCTAGGAACAGCAAGCCGACCGCCCACCTCCTCTTCCTTTAGATGTAGAACTCAGTTGCTGGAGGAAACTAAGCCAGGTGGTGCCTTTTAAAAAGAAATGTTTTGAGTCTTGTATTTCTCAGCGAAGTGCTGTAGCCTTTAAATTCTAAGAAGCTGAATGGAGTGACTATGAGATCAGAGTTTCTTTTGCAAGTAGCTCTATATATGCAAATACTCACCACTTTTTTGGCCACTGCTGGTGGTGGGAAGGATTGCAATATAATTTTAATTTGACATGCGGGCTGGGTGGTTACATCAGTTCAGCCACTTCCTGCCCAGGGGACTTTGGGAGATCCAGAAGGAGGAGGGATGTAGGTGTGAGAGGATTTTCGGACATGGTGCTGTCAAAATTATCCTTTACAGACAACTGATAGGGTTTAGGTGGTCAGCTTTTCACTTTCTGGGCAAGGTGATTACTTCAATAATTGTAAAAAAAAAATAAAATCTCTTCTTAAGGGAAAACTCCAGTTACTTAGTGAGCTCAAACAATATTGAGGCAAAAATCTGATCTTATTTGTTGACCAGTTTGGTTAGGTCAGTTTAAATTAGAATAACTAGCAGACCCTTACAGGGGTCATGTTTGTCATATTCATCCTGGGGCCTGCTCTTGTCATTTCTCTTCTCTGTCCGTAACCTTATATTCTCTACCTTGTACTAGCATCGTATCTTTTCGTGTTTCGAATTATGACTTGGCCTGTTATCTGCTGGCCTATAATGTTTGGATCTCATACACTCCTGTGTCCTGTGTCACAAGGACATTTTAGGGAAGCAAAATTTTATTGCAGGTTAGGAGTCTTGGTGCCCTCTGGTGAAAAGACTTGTTAACTAAGTACTAATGTTTTCCATCCCACAATTGTTGGGGTTGTTTTGTTGTTTCTCTTCCAGGAAAATAAGAACTCACAGAATAGTGTCAATTAATTGCGTATGGTTCCCCCTCCTGGGCCTACTATATATGGAGGACATCATTTTCTTACTTTCTGCTCTGATCGGGTTATCCTGTAGCTATCTCTGTAGCTCTCAGACTCTTTAATATATTCTAGGGTAGAATAAAACTGATTTTGAGGAATATTGAAATGTCAGTTTTCATCACAAATGAAAAATGGAAGTGAAATTAGTATTCAGTTGTAGATATACCTTACTCTTTAATAAATAAAAACACCAAAAAGAAAATGGAGAATTTAATGTTTACAAATTAATAAAGGAAATAAATTTCTTGAGCTCTGTGGGGATAATCTCTTATTTAATTATGAACCTATTTAATAGAATAGACCACATTATTTTTTCCCCCACAAATTTCAAAAAAACTTGCTGCCCCTCCTCCCATCGCCGAAAGAAGGTTATATTTCATCAGTGGAGCCAAGGGTGATAAAATTAGGATCTTTGGGAACCCTTATTTTGTTTCTGATTGTCTATTTCTTTGGCTGGGTGGTACGCAGTGGTTTCTCCCCTGCAGTTGGGTTTTTCAGGGGTCATTGGCCTCTTTCAGGATCTCATAAAAAAGACTGTTACCATTTAAAGAGGCCACATCTTCCCAATCCATGTTGCCTCATACCTTTTCCATTTCCTTGGCAAGCTTTTTTTCCGGAGATAAGGTTTGAATGGTAAACATTATCTTAATTACAAGTCTGAATTTCTAAAGCACTTCAATTTAAAAATATAAAAGAATATATAAGAGACTGAGATCAATTTATAAACTACTTTCAAAAGCAGATCCCATGACACCTTCTGGCATATCCAGATTACTTGCCTACATATATGAATTTTAATTTTCATGGCTGATTGCAATTCTTAGATTATATACTTCTAGTAATTTTTTAGCAGTGTAATCTTGATACAAGAGATAAAGCATGCTTATCCCAATATTGTTGAATTTCTAGAGAATGGAATGGATTGCTTTTTGTTATCTGAAAAAAACACCCTTATAAAGATTTCAGACTTTCTGGAGGTTGAGATTGGAATGTCTTTTGTTTTCTAAAAATGTTGGTACAAGAAGCAGTGGTCTTTGGAGAAAATATCCTACAGTTTTTCACAGCCAAAGGGTTAGTGCAAGCCAAAACTTTTTTTTTTTTTTTTTTTTTTTTAAGAAAAAGGAGAAAGCAGCAGTAAGCTTAGATGCCAAAAACTCAAGTGAAATATTCTCTGGCTTAGTGTTTGTATTTAGCACAGATTTACTCAAAATGTTACTTTTCTTGTGGTTAATGTTATCACCAATGTCTATTTAAAAAAATCTTTGTTAAAGGTACAATGCTTTGACTCTAAATATTGTGCTCTGGGATCCTTTATTATAGTGTGTGGGCTACAGTGTGTTAGCTGTGAAAAGAAACAAAAGAACTAGATCTTGCTTTGCAGGATATGCAGACTGTGGGTTAAACTGGTTCTATGATAGTGATTACTATTTAGCTTATTTTCTCTGATTATTTGCATTTTGGAGTTATAAATAGCCTTTACTTTTTTAGCTCTCATTTATTAAACACCTATTATTTGCCAGCCCTGTACTAAGTCTTTACACATATCATCTTATTTTATTCTCATAATCCAATGAAGTCAGTACTGTTATGCTTCCTATTCTATTACACATAAGGAAACTGAAGTTTAGAGAGACCAAGGAATTTGTCAGAATCAAAAGGCTAGTAATGTTTCTGAGCTGTAGACTGAACCCAGGTCTACCCACTTTCAAAGTCCTTCTTACCCTGCCTTCCCCCGCTCCCCCTTCAACCTCAGATATCACAAGGATGAAAACACTGCTTTCCCTGCAGGAGCCCATTGATACCTCAAAACAACCTCATTTCCGATGCAGAAACCTTGACTCAGTTAAGTAGTTTGCTGAAGGACAAAGCTGGTGATCACAGATTCAAACTCAGGGCTTTCTGATGTGACACGATCTCTAGCCACTAGTCCCAGGATTATCTGGATCAGATCAGTACAACAGGAACAAAAGCAAAGTTTGAGAATGATAGAAGGCTGTCAAGTTTTTACTTTGCCAAGTAATAACATTAAAAAAAAAAATCAGTCTATCCCCACCTTTTCATAAAAGAAAGGACTTTTATTACTTTTTTAGAAAGGACATTTTTATGAGAGAAAATGGGAAGGTGTAATTTCAGAATAAAGGAGAGTTGTTTAAAATGAATAAATTCAACTTTTTGAAAAACTTTATCTTGCCTCATTTTTTTCTCATTTTGCCACAGACTGTTGATTACTTGGCTGCAGACCAGTTTTTGGTGACCATTCTCCTACACCCTGCTCTCTCACAAATCCAACAGCCTGTCAACTGTTAAAGTATCCTCCCCCAGTCTGTTGTCACACTCTTGAATCTGTGGTCTTTAGCGAGTCTATTGATATATTTTGTATGGTGAGTGTCATTCTTGTTCATAACTTGGTCTTATTTTGAGTCAGCATAGGCAGTCTGAGGAGGTGAAAAAGCAGTTGATGAGGGCTCTTGGTCAGCACCCTTTCTTTCTCTCCTCTTTTCTTGCTCATCTTTCAAGTAATAGTTGCTTGCCTTGTGTGCTTTACTACTCTAATTATCTCTTGTTCTCTTTATGTCCTGTTTCCTTGCCTAGGCATTCGTTGTGAGACTTTGGGGACCCTTGGTAGAAGGGATTTTAGGACCAGCAGTCTTTGGATTAAGTCAGGTGAAAGAGAAAAGAGGGACATCATTTCTGGGTGTGGGCAGTGCCCACCACAGTGCCTTCCTTGTACATAGTAGGCACGCAACAGGCATTTGTTGGACCAGTGAGTCTCGTTTGTAACCTAATCTGTCAGTACTCACTCCCAAGATTTTATGCTATTTTTGTGTGCGTGTGAAAGGCTCAAACTTTGTGGATTGTTAATTGGAATGTGGTATTAATATTGTTGGATCTCCAGGGAGTGGAGCTGCTTGGATTCCATAAGCCTCTTCTCTGGCTCTTCCAGCTTTACTGTTGGACAGACGATACCTCTGCCTGTGTGGTGATGTGCTAAGGAGAGAGATTAAGGGATAATTTTTTAAGCATTCAAATTTGTAAAGATTGGGATTTGAGGTCTAAACTACATATGACTACAAGAGTTGTGGTTTCTAATGTAAAAATAAACCCCATGCTTACCTTTTCAAAGTACTTCATCAACTTAATCAGTTGTCACCGTAATTAAAGGAGCTTTATTGTGGATCCAGGTTTTAAAGGATACTTTAGTACTTTTTGTGTCTATTATATTTCCCTTTGCAGTAAACATTCTCAGTTCCCTAATTTTAATTAATAATTGCTAGTAAATATTCTATTTCAAATGGGAGAATGCATAGGAAAAAGACTCACTTCCCGTGCTTTTTTGTTATTATTTCAGACCAAAATCTTGTGTGACTGAGCTCAACCATGGTGCATCAAGATTCTCCTCAGAAGTGAGACTTTCCAAAGGACCAATGACTCTGTTCCCTGTGCCCTTTCATTTTTTCCCACTCCGTAGCTATGTCTCGATCCCGCCATGCAAGGCCTTCCAGATTAGTCAGGAGGGAGGATCTAAACAAAAAGAAAAACAGCCAACTGAAGAAGACATCCAAGCCAGCCAACAAAAACGGGGCATCAGTCAAGACTGTGAGCCCTGGAAAATTAAAACAATTGATTCAAGAAAGAGATGTTAAGAAAAAACCAGAACCCAAACCACCTGTGCCAGTTAGAAGCCTTCTGACAAGAGCTGGAGCAGCGCGAATGAATTTGGATAGAACTGAGGTTCTTTTTCAGAACCCAGAGTCCTTAACTTGCAATGGGTTTACAATGGCTCTCCGAAGCACCTCTCTTAGCAGGCGACTCTCCCAACCCCCAGTGGTCATAGCCAAACCCAAGAAAGTTCCACCTCCTAAAAGTTTGGAAAAGCAACATGAGTGTGATTATAAGGTACTTACGGACATGGGAGTAAAGCACTCAGAAAATGATTTTGTCCCAATACAAGACCCCCTAATCCCTCCTGATCTAGAGAATCTAATCAGCTTACAAAATGCATCTTTAATTAAAGGTGAGAGCCAAGAGACAACTCAGTCTTGGTCCCAAAGGGTCGAGGATTCCAAAATAAATATCTCCACTCACAGTGGCCCTGCAGCAGAGATCCTTTCTGGGTCACTGGAAGGGACACCTGGTGGCGAAGGACTGTTCTCTCAAGAGACATCAAGTGATATCAGTGATTCCCCTAAAATGTTTGCTCGGGGCACTCTGTGTGCTCCTTTGCTCCAAAGAGCAGCCCTCAAGGTTACCTCTGAAGGAAATGCCAGCATTCAGTTAGAAGATTTGGGTTCACGAGTAGAATCTCTTAAGCTATCTGATTCTTACCTGGATCCCATCAAAAGTGAACATGATTTCTGCCCCACCTCCAGCTTTAATAAGGTTATACCTGAATTGGACCTTAAAAACTGTTTGTCTATTGGTGGGTCAATATATCCTACCTCATTAATAAAACTGCTTTTGGCAGGCTCAGAACAAGAAACCCTTGGTGCTAAACCAGGTCATCAAGAGGTACTCAAAGCTACCCCAGATCACCGGGAAGTTCCTGATACCACCCCTGTCGTAAGACAGGTCTTTAATACTGTCCCACATCAATGGGAAGTTCCTGGTGCTAACCTAGTTCTTGGAGAGGCTCTGGGTGAGACCCCAGACCCACCAGAGATTCCGGGTGCTGTTCCAGTTCAAGGAAAGGTTTTTGGTGCTATCTTAAATCAACAAATCCCTGGTATGGGTGGTGGTACTGCCTCAGACCCACCAATCTTCCTTCCTGCTCCTCTAAACCCAATTGCTACCTATAATGCTCTCCCAGAATGGCCTGAGCCCCAGGGCACTGTTTCATATGGGCTTGAGGTTCAGGGCACTATGCAGATTTTGCCTTTGGGCTCAGGTCACACTCCTCTACCATCGTCAAACTCAGAGATAAGTTCGATACCTCCAGTAATGGCTATAAGCAATATAGAAAATGAGAAGCAGGTTCATATAAGCTTTCTGCCAGCTAACACTCAGGGGTTCACGTTAGCCCCTGAGAGAGGACTCCACCGTGCTTCACAGGGCATTGCCCAACTCTCCCAGGCTGGTCCCAGCAAATGGGAAGAAGAGAGCTCCCAGATCAGCAAGACCAGCATGGTTGACATCAACACCACAGTGGTGTCTAGGCCAGTGTCACTTGCCAGTACCTCCTCTTCTCTTTCCTATACAACTTTGCTACCTACTTTGGAAAAGAAGAAACGAAAGCGATGTGGGGTCTGTGAGCCCTGCCAACAGAAGACCAACTGTGGTGAATGTACTTACTGCAAGAACAGAAAGAACAGCCATCAGATCTGTAAGAGGAGGAAATGTGAGGAACTGAAAAAGAAACCATCCGTCATTGTGTCTTTGGAGGTAAGTAAATACCCAAGGGGCTGGGAGACACCATGAGAGTTGGTAGTGTGATCTGTGATCTGTGTGGAGACACTTTGTTTCTGTATTACATCCTTTTACTTTGCTAAAATGTTGCTTTAAGTTGTCTGTAAGAATTTGTAGGGGCTGGCCGGGTGGCGTAGTGGTTAAGTTCACACACTCCACTTTGGCTGCCTGGGGTTTGCCAGGTTCAGATCCTGGGCACAGACCTACACACAGCCCATCAAGCCATGCTGTGGCAGCATCCCACATACAAAATAGAGGAAGGTTGCCACAGATGTTAACTCAGTGACAGTCTTCCTCAAGCAAAAAGAAGAAGATTGACAACAGATGTTAGCTTAGGGCCAATCTTCCTCACCAAAAAAAAAGAATTTGTGGAATTCAGGACTACCCGAAGTATGTCTTGTGCTGTGATACATTAGCTTATTTTTAGAATTTGTCTCAGAAAACTAGAACATACAGTTTTTCCGTTATAGGTTTTGATGGAGACACAGGGAAATTGTATGATGTGGTTTTGCAAAGATTTCCCCTATGCCTCATTTTGGCTAGTTGTGTGTCTTTTTTGGAAGTTACAAATTTAAAAACTAAGACTGGAACAAATTCATTAACTCCCTTGCAGCCTGAGAAAGCAGAGGAATTAAACTTCTTTTCTTTTGAAAGAATAAAACTGTCTGCATTCTTAATCTTGAAACTTTGCCTTGGGGGTATAACAATAATAGAGCTTTCGTCTCAGCTTTTGGCGGGTGGTTTCTGCCTACTCTTCATATCTCTCAGTGTTGTTGGGATTAAATGGTAATCACAAGTTGAGCCTGGTGAGGTGGCGCTTGCCTGTAGTCCAGCTACTTGAGAGGCTGAGGCAGAAGGATCGCTTGAGCCCAGGAGTTCTGGGCTGTAGTGCACTATGCCCATCAGGTGTCCCCACTAGATTGGCATTAATCTGGTGACTTCCTGGCAGCAGCGGACCACGAGGTTGCCTGAGGAAGGGTGAACCATCCCTGGTTGAAACCAAGCAGGTCAACTCCCTTGCTGATCGGCAGTGGGATCTCGCTTGTGAAGAGCCACTGCACTCCAGCCTTGGCAACATAGTGAGACCCTGTCACTTTTGCCCACCCCACCCCCCAACCCAATATAGGAAATCCCGTATGTCCTAGTATTCACTGTGTCTCCTAAATAAATATAAAAGTTTTTTTTAAAGTTGAAAATGGTTTGTAAACTCCAAGTGTTATATGAACACTAGTTCTCATTGTTACAGTTTATGAACCTAAGGTAGTAAAAGTATTGGTTAACTTAGGCTTTAAAGGATTTTGTGGAGCTTAATTAAAACTCAAACTTACTTTTACAGACCTTTAAAACACCTGTCAGGGGCTGGCCCCGTGGCCAAGTGGTTAAGTTCGCGCGCTCCGCTTCAGTGGCCCAGGGTTTCACCAGTTCAAATCCTGGCGTGGACACGGCACCGCTCATCAAGCCGTACTGAGGTGGCGTCCCACATGCCGCAACTAGAAGGACCCACAACTAAAAGAAATACACAACTATGTACCTAGGGGCTTTGGGAGAAAAAGGAAAAATAAAATCTTTAAAAAAAAAACCCAAAAACCTGTCAACTATGGTATTTTATGATTTTTAGATCACTCACCTGAAGTTATATTTATTTTGTGTCTACTGTGAATACAGATATAGTAGAATAGATTAATTTTAAAAAGTATTGTAAACTTAAGTTCAGTCAACCTTTACTGTTTCATTCTTGACTTAAATTATTTTTCCAAGAATACTGGCTTCCTATTTGACTGAGCCATTGCAAACGAGATCAGACATTTAACCAGTCATGTATTGATGGGCGTTTAAGGTATTCCTAAAATATTTTCTTACAAACCTTGCTGCAATGAATATTCTTCCTTTACTCGAGTGACTTCACACATGAGAGTAGATCACAATGTGGCCAGTAACGTAATGGTTTACAAACACACATCTAAAACACTTAGTAGCAATGTCTTTAGCAGAGAGACCTCCTCGTAAGCTCCTGATTTGTAGTATTGCCAAGTGACATCATTGCCAAAGATACTCTATCTGTAATGTGTGTAAGCAAATTTCTTCGTTTCTTTCCTAAATCTGCTCCTCCTCTTGCATTACGTATTTGGTTCAATGGCTTACTATCTACATGATCACCCAAAATGGAAAATTCAGTCATTTGTGATGCTTTCCTCCCCTTCCTCTAGATTCTCTTGTTTTATAAGATCTGAGTGTTCCTACCTCTCCACTTTCTTGGCTGCACCTATAGTTGAGGCTTTGATCTCTTATCGGGACAATTTCAGTATCTTCTTTATGATCACCAAGTATTTATTGCACTTCTCCTCTGGGTTGTGCACTGGGGCTATAGTTGTGAGCATATCAGCTAGCAGGGAAGTCAGGGTGTGGAACGACAAGCTCCCCTTAGTGGAGTTCAAGTTTCTTTCCGAAACCCTGATTCTCCTACTTAACCACGTGTAGTCTCTTCTGCATGTGTGACATATCTCACTCAAGACAAACGAAAATAGAGCAAAACTTTCAGTGCCTTCCAATTATAGATGAAACCTAGAGTCATTAGTGTGGAGTACAAGACTGTCAAGATTTTGGCACAACCGACCCCCTCCGTCTTATTTGCTGTCGCTTCTCATATTACACTGAAGTTTCAGCAGTATCTGGCTACTTATATTTCCCCAAGCTCACCATGCATGTTCCCACTCGGTGTCCATGTTCATGGTACATGTTCTTCCTTTCCCCTTCTGACCAGACTCCGCCCAGTCACTCACCCGTCACGTGTCACAATTATACATGTGTGTGTTCCCCAGCTTCCATACCAGGGCACTTTGTTTTTCTAGAGCCTGTCTAGGCTTGATACAATTGTAAGTACTCAACACATACGTGTTAGTTAAATGAAAAGAGAATATATTTGTAACTCAAATAATCAGGGTTATAAATTTAGATGTTGGCATGTGGTTTAAACTTGCTCTGGTGAGCAAGTGTGCCCACTGTTCTCAAGCTCCATCAGTGTGGGAAAAACCAATATTGGCTAATGGATGGATGAATACCTTGGCTGTTGGTCATGATCTCTTAAGCACCACGTTCTTTATTAAAAACAAACCAAAAAAAAAAGCAAAGAAAAAATCCAACACTTTCATTTTGATGTAATTCAGATTTATAGAAAAGTTGCAAGAGTACTACAGAGAATTTGGTATATCTTTCAACTAAGTGATAATATTTTGTCATATTACTTTATCTTTCTTTTTATCTCCCCCTCTCTCTGTCTCTTCTCTATTTTTTTCTGTACCAATTGAGAGTAAGCCACAGACATGATATTCCTTTATCCCTACATACTAGAGAGTGTGTTTTCAATAAGCAAGGATATTCTCTTATCATTATCAAGATTAGGAAATTAGAATTCAACTATTATTATGATCTAACCCGCAGACCTTATCACCTATAAGAAAATGTCCTTTTGGCTTCCTTTAATCTGGAACAGTTCCTCAAATTTTCAAAACAACTTTATTGAGGTATAATTGACATACAATAAACTGTACATATTTAAAGTATACAATTTGATAAGTGTGATATATGTATACACTGTATAACCATTGCCACAATCAAAATCCATCACTCCCACAAGTTTCTTTGTGCCTACCCCTCTCCCTGTACCGTCTCCTCAGCAAACACTATCTTTCTGCCACTATAGATCAGTTTGCATTTTCTAGAGTTTGATATAAATAGAATCATACAATATGTACTTTTTTGTGGGGGGAGGGCTAGAACAGTTCCTCAGTTTTTGTCTTTTATGACTTTGCTACTTTTGCAAAATGCAGATCACTTATTTTGCCCCCTGAGACTTTCACTCCCTAGTTTACACATCTTTTTGCCTGATGGTTGTTAAATGGTGATTCTCTATGTCCATCATTTCTTCTAAATGTATAAGTTAGCTGTAAACTCTAAGGAAGAGCTTTTGCTTCTTAGTTACCTATTTTATTTATTTATTTCAGTATGAATTTATAGATTTTTATTATATTCAATAGGTTATAATCCTTTATTATCATTATTTATTTTGGTGCTCAAATTGTCTCAAATTTGGCCAGGGAGCACCTTCAACCATGCTTTAAGTATTTCTTTATTTGTCTGGCATAAGTGTTCTAGGCTTTACTACTTTCTGTTCTGCCCCAGACCTGAAGTCACTTATTTATCCAAGGAAACTTGGTTTCTTTTAGTGGAGAATGAGACTTAGAAAGCAAGATCTTGGTGGTAGACGTGATCATTGTTACTGTAATGTCAGCGCTTTGTTCAAAAGTTACTTGAATTAATTTTGTCTCTCTGTGTCTCAGTCTCTGCCTCTCTTTCTCAAACACACACACACACACACACACACACACACACCCCACCCTTAACCTTTCAATGTGCTTATGTTGTTCATTTGAAATAGTTTTAATTAATTTACTTCTTTATATTCTTTTTCAAGGTTCCCCTGTACTTGACAATCTTCATATTCACTCGCTCTCTCTTGTTGTCTCCCTGCCCCAAAAGATCGCCTTTATCACAGACAAAGCTGATTCTGAAGAATGTGTTAGGTTGTCCTTGTACTGAACTCTGGCAATGATAGACCTACCTATCCAACAGTGCATAGAGAGGCAGAGGACACAGGCTCTCTGAGGGAACCTCACTCTGAGAGAGCAAGGAACAGTTGTATCCTCTTTTCTTTCTGGTATCTTTTGCTTAATATTATGTTTATGAGATTCATCCATAATGTTGCTTCTAGTTATAGATAATTCATTATCATTGTGGCATAGTATTCCATTATATGTATATACCACAGTACATTTGTCCATTCTACTGCTAATGAACAGTAGTACTACTATGACCATTATCATAAACGTCATTGGTGAATATTGAGTATTCCATTCTATAGTGTATTCCTGGGAGTAGGATTGCTGGGTCATGGAATGCGCATTTGTTTAGGTTTTGTA